AGGAAACAACACATACACACATATGCTGAAGATATGAATGAGTTTCTTGAAGCAGTTATCACATGTTGGTTCAACAGTCCACATTAGCTGGATTTAGAGATCTGTAGGCAGCTCTTAGTGTACAAACGTACAATGACTGCAACCAAAACTAAACAGAAATCTTATCCGCACTCCACACAAGCATCACCAACCAGACTCACTTTTGTCACATACTTACCTTCATAACACATTAATCCCAGAATGGTTACCCTGATACTGTTCTTGAGTCCTGAAGTTACACACACACAAGCTTAAGAACTGGGTTGCTTAACCTGACTCCAGGGATACCTCAGAGCAGCCTTCCAATGCCTTAAAGGGGGCTTACAAGAAATCTGGAGAGGGACTTTTTACAAGGGCATGTGATTGGACACGAGGGAATGGCTTTAAGCTGAAAAAGGGGAGATTTAGATTAGATATTAGGAATACTTTAATGTCAGAGCAGTGAGGCGCTGCCACAGGGTGCCCAGAGAAGTTGTGGCTGCCCCATCTGTGGCAGCATTCAAGGCTATATTGGGTGGGGTTTTGAGCAACCTGGTCTAGTGGCAGGCGTCCCTGCCTGTGGCAGGGGACTGGGACTCAACTATGTATAAGGTCCCTTCCAACCCAAACCATTCTGTGATTCTATGATAGAAGAATGTTTGGAATAATTTTAACTGACTGTAGTGAGTGATTCATAAATTTAGTGAGCACTCAGTGTACTTCATATTGCTTCCCTTCATGTTATTAGTGGAATCATATATGTACAACCATGAGATAAATCATTACATATTTTGTCGCAAAATATAATTAAACACACGCAGGAACATTTGCATTCAGCAGCAGTTTCTGCTAAACAGGAGCCAAGTACATTTCCTTCTTGGCCTCCTTTCCCCTCTCTGTTTCAATTTTGTGCAACATCAGTTAATCTCTTGTAGTTTCTTCTTTCTGGTATCATGTATCATCTAAAAGAACATCCCCTAAATTAGCTTTTCTTCTCACATAAATAGTTGTTTTCAAAACCAGGTATTCTTTCCTAAGGAACAGAAGGAATGTTATTAGAATATTATTCTACAACTTATTCAATTATTCCCATGCATCCACATCAGAGCTCTTCAAAAAAATATGCCCATGTGACATGAAATACATGCCCAGTTTACAAGAATAGAGTTCGCCGAGAGGAAAAAAAAAACACCAAAATCACAAAAACTTGTTATTCCATTATTTTTTCCACAGTGCTGAAACCTTGGTTTGCTTTGATTAAGATGCAGTAACGCAAAAGTTCTAAATCTGCTCCACCAAAATCCCTGCCAACATCAAACACCAAAAAAAAGTCACATCTTGCAAGGACTGGGCACACACTGCTTCTGAACATGGAACCTGCCGAAAGATGCTGTGGACCTCTGACCATGGCCTTGAAATCATGGTATGTAAATCACCACTCTGGGTAACTGACACAGATCTTCATCAGTCTGCTCAGGTGCAGAAGTCTATTTCAGTTATATCTGAATGGAATTAGTTAATGTAACAGACATAATTTTATCTTTATAACCATGTAGCAAGTGTATTTCCATTACTGCTTTTCTTTAGTATCCAAAAATGAATGCTAAGCTGACAAAATGTGCTTTCAGTGATCTGTGTATGATCTAACAAATCAGCTGTGCCCAGCAGGAGCAATGGTTTTGTCAGAGAGTTAAGTAAAAATTCTTCAGAATGCTGATAAAAGTCTTTAAAAGAGAATATTCTAAAACAAAAGGTGAATTTCCTTTACAGAATCACTGTAAGGCCAAAAATCCAGTACTCAGGATTAAATTACTGATGAGGGGAAAGAGAAGGCAAAATTTAGTTCATATATCACGGAAGGGGAGAGGTAACCACCCTCTGCCACAAGAAAGACAAATGCACAATCCTATTTCTTTCTGTTATTTCACAAGGTCTTGCAAAACTATGGAAATGATCCTTTAGAACATAAGTACACCAACATTATATCAAAATTTTCCAGCAATCTAATACAAACCCTGTTATTTTGGGAAATACAGATATACTTTCTATCCCTAAAGCAACTGCACATGTTCTACAACTGAAATGCTGTGAGAAAGATTTAGGAAAATAATGACAAATTTAATTAAATTAGTATGATTGACAAGCTTTAAATACTTCGAATTTAATTCCGTGTTTAAAGAAAGAAAAACCTGCAAAGCAATTTAGCTTTCAAGGGCCACATACAAAGAGTTACAAAACCTGTATGTCCAATCAATCCTTGCACAAAGGGTTTCAGATGTTTTTAATAGAAATCATTAGATATAGCAATAATAATTTTAAACAGTAAACTCTGCAAAGATCTGCTAAATTAAAACAACACATACTCAGGCTTAACAGAAAGACTGGGGATAAAGAAAAAACAGAGAACCTCATTCCTTCTGAAACCTTCATTAAAATGCCTAAACTATTAGTCCTAATGAGGCAATTAACAAATCTATGAAGTATTAGGTCATGGCTGCTGAAAAAGCAAGTCCACCTAAAGCTGCATCTCAAAGTACTTTTTTGTCTGTGTGGACAATTCCATGGGATTTCTCATCCATTCCATTTTGCTTATGTATGTTGTCAGTTTCCTGGAGCACTTTTACATGGACACTATTAACATTTTACCAGTAAACAGTTATCACAGCAGTATGCTTTTGTTTTAAAAATTGGTAAAATGAAGAAAAAATGAATAAAAATATTTGAATGCTAACTAATATCTGCACAGCATTCTCCTGCATTTTAGTCCTAAAAACAGAGACCTCCATGCAAAGCTAAAAAAAACCCCAACTTGAACTTTTATTACTTTTCCAGGTATCTTTTGGTTCTTTGCAGCTCTATTGCTCCCTTATGCCTGCCAACCACATCTTTCCATGACAGCAGCAATTGTCATCATCACTGTTTATAAGATACATATTATGTAGAAGGGGACAGCTTCTAATGCCTGTTAAATTACTGCAATTCTGTAGTGATTTTATTAAGTTAATAGACTCTATACCACTGAAATCATGGTTTGGCCCAGTTCTATCTCATGTAATTTAAGGAACACTACAGCTTTCCAGCGGAGTGGCATGCATTTTACACATTCTGTTCTTTACAGAGAGGCACGTTTTCACCATGCCACTGTTCATATCCACTGCTGAATCTGAAGCAGGTGACCTAATTTATTGTAAAAGAACACAAGGCCTAAGAGTCTGACTCCAAACTGCCACATACTTTTATGGGCTGGACCAGAGAATGTCCCAAGTTTCTTGCATCATTTAATGTCTTGAAAAGGTTCTTCCAGTCAGAGCTGCCAGAACTATTTGCATCCTGTACATGGCAAACTGAACGGCTATCCAGAATTTTCCAGATGCAGGGACCACAAATAGCTTGTCTTTTGAAAGAAGAAAGAAATAATTGTATCTATACATTTTGATTTATATCATGTGCTAATTCTTTTCATATATTTTCCACTATTTACAATATGAAAAAGAGGCTACAAACACAATTTAAAAAAAATATATATAGAAAAGGCAAGCAAGGAAATGTGGCACCTTTTAGTTTCTCCACATAACACCTTGCAATTGCCTTCATTTTCTAGTGAGATGGGTAATTGTTTTCTTAAAGTAGTAGGCTTACATAGGCTATTTGCTGGGGACCCTAAAATATTCAGGAGGGGATGCTGCTTAATTACATTTTAGAATTCAGGATTTTAGAAAGTTTGAGAGCCATGCTGAGTAAGGCACGAATGTAGGTATTTCTCTTTGCTGTTCCACATCCATGGTTTTCAACGGACTAGATCTCCAGGGCTGTGGCTTTCAGTCTTCAGCTGAAAAACCCCAAGTTTCTCAAGACCACATCTATTAGTTTTGAGAAAAGTGAATAAGAAACAGAAATGTGTTATCATTTGGCTTAAATTTGTTCTATAGGAACTGAAAACCAGGGTTTTCAAGTTAACGAAGGACGTTATGAATGGTACTTTACGGAATTTTACATATTTAAAGGATGATGTTTTGTTTGGAGAAGAGTTTCATTGATAAAACTTGGTGCTCCTCTCTCTGTCAAGCAATCTCTCATGTTGCTTCTTCTTTTTTCCCAATATATCCGCAGGAAATTTCAAATTCCTCATGTTCAGCTAGGTTAGGTGACCTTTATAGGGAGTTAGGCCACTTAACATCTTCCAGTGGCTGGAGAGAGATATCAGATTAGATCTGCTATTGATGTGTATCACGAAGCTCTAATGATGGTCTGCGTCCAAACCCTATCCATGCTGTTTTCATAATCTGACAATTAATTAAAACAATGAGCAAAAGAAAATGATTCTAAGTCACCAACTATTAGCAGATGAAAAAGTTGACCCGCAAACTGCCTGATGACAAACAGGCAATGATCGATGAGAGAGATGAACCTCATGTTTTAAAATACGACAGCTGCAGGCTAAAACTGCTAGATTCTATCCCCAGATTTTTGACAAAAGAGAAAAAATGAGGAAAAATGAGCTACTCATTACAAATAAAATTAACCTGGCATCAAGTCATGTAATGACAAGCCTTAATTCAATAGCCACTGAGTTCCATTCAATTATTTTTATGCAAAGAACATACATACAGACAGCTAAAACTTGTTGGCATGGTAAAAGGCAGCTTTGACAGAGCCTCCATGGACCAATATGTAATTTCTCTAAACAGTGAAAAGGAGGTATTTTTCCCAAGACAACAGTCCTGCATGTATTTATTTCATGTCACTTACATAAAGTAGATCTAGTACCCCAAAAGTAAACACCTTTTTTCAGCAGCTGCTAACTGGTCAACAAACTTCTTCATATTCCATTCATTGCAAAAGGCAATCTTCTTTTTATTATTACCTAACTCAGCCAAGTTTGGCCAGCTGCTCATGCCTTTTATAATTTTATTTGAGACGGCTTTTGGTGGTGATGTTTGGCTTGGTTGTGGGTTGGTTTGGGGGGTATTTTTGTAACTTACCTAGTAAAGATTGTGAGTTAACATCCCTTCTTTGGGTGAATTGTCGTCCAGGGAGATCTTTTGCCATGACAAAGATAGTGGAAAGCAGAGTGTGTCCAAACAGCAGAAGGAAGCAGACAATCATTTTCTTCATCTTCAAGAAATAGAAGGACAGTCAAGGATGTGAAACTGTAACAAGGGAGAGGAGATGAGCTCTTTGATTACACATGTAACCATGTCAGCCACTCAGCTGCACTGCTTCCCTCCCATCATATGCAAACATGCAGATATACTGGCTTGGATAATACCTACACTGTCAAGAAAGATCTACATAATAAAGTAGCACTTAGCAGATCTTGCATAGCGTTTGTATTACTAGTTGAAGTTCAAAGTGACTATTTAAAATGTATCTTTTTTTTTAAAGAATTCATAATAATTATTTTCAAAGCAGAAACCTCGTTTCAGCCAACCTGTCAGCATAAACAGGCTTGAGGAGGACACAAATATATTTTCATTATTCTACTCAGCCCTCTTTTGTATTTTTTCAGAAGTTTAATGGCTCTTGTAGGCTGAGGGATACCTGCTTCAGAGAATCTTGGAGAACTGAAACAAGAGAAGGGAATATATTCCAGAAACGGCAACTATAAATACAAACTGGTGACAGCTCATGTTTCCTTTTCAGGAGACTGTCCCTAGATGCAATCATGAAGATAACAGTGCAGAATGAATCTTGTTTACTCAAGGAAACTTCTGAGGACTGGCAATGAGCTTGCCATAGACTGTGGAGAAATTTTGTCATAGAGAGGAACAAGGTGACAGGCAAAATTCCTAGACTAAGAGATGATTCCTGATCAGGAGTTGGTTAACACACCATCAAAAGCCATAGCTGACCCTGCCCACAAATAGAAAGCTAACACTAACATTCGAAAGGCTCATCTTCTGGCCATGTCCCCTGTTGGTGGGCTTCCTCAGATGGCGATTCCTTCTACCTTCCCCCCAAACTTATTGTTCCTATCTAACAGGAGCTAACAGGAGAGATGAATAAAACTACCTGCTCTCACAACAAAGAACTGTTCTACCTGAAACTGAGTGGAAATTTTAGAAGCAGTAGAAATTTTAACAGTAATTCTTGGTTAAATAACTACCACATTGAAAACAATTTCAGTAGGGTCCAACAGTGGATAAGCAGACAGAATTACAGATCTGTAACAGAAGACAACTAAATGGAGATGTTCAGAGGATTTTTTCCCCACCATGAGGTACCCAGTGAAGAAAGAGAATTCTGAGTAAATATTTTCTGTCTAATAAAAAGATTTTATACATTATTCTCCAGTCTGTCCCACACAACCATTACAGATTGATCTATGTTTTGGTCTATCGATCTATTTTTTTCCTTTTGTGTACCCTATTCAACATCCCCAAATGTGAGCACACAGTTCAGTATATACACCTAGAGAACAAAATGCACTGAGTTTTTTCACTCAAAATGCCCAACTTTGCTTAAACATTCAATATTATCCAATAACAGGCAATATATAATTTAAGGACATTCAAACCAGTAAAGAGATGTAAATAGCTGGTGTTTATAACAGTGGCCACAAAAAATTAAATTTCTGGAGCCCGAGGAGCATGGACACCTGGATGGTATTACTGGTAGAGTATTTCCAAGTGCTCTAGTCAGAAACAAACAGACACTGCAAACAGCACGCACCACTGAAAATGGAACAACATTCTGCTGGAGGCAACAGTTCTTACTGCTGGAGATTATCAATGAAAACTTCCTCCAGGTTGTCTCCTCATTTCCCAGAATATCATCAACAACCACAGCACTGTGCAAGGCAGCCTTCTCTCTGCCTGGCCTGCTCCTTCAACACACAAGGCAAAGGGACCTCAAGGACACATGCCAGTTTTAGCACCAATGTTTCAGAAACATAGAAGCCATGCTCAGAGAACTAAGGAGCATAGAGAAGTATGTTTACCAAGGCTGTCATGGTGTTTGGGTGACATGGTTTAGTGTGAGGTGTCCCTGCCCATGGCAGGGGGGTTGGAATAGATGATCTGAAGGTCCTTTCCAACCCAAACTATTCTAGGGTTCTATGATTCTGTCACAGGAGCCAGGAATGAGAGTTTGGTCAAGAGGGCTACTTGGCTGTTACATAGTTACCAGTTCCCTAACTCATCCCTCCTTCCCAAAGCCAAAGGCTGTGTGTGTGATAAGAGCTGACACTGGTCCAAGGCTGTTGTACCCTTTCATCCACACTGAACGTTTCTGTGCTGCCTTCCTGAGGTGATTATAGTTTGGACTTGTACTTTGCTCTATTCCATGTACATATTTGTGTCCACTGCTGCTCACGTTTTTACATGACCAGTAATATTGTGGTTGCACAGCTTCTCCACATACAGTCCTCCCTCCCATAGTTCTCTATATTCTGGGTCTTCTGCACGGTCCTGTCTTCACTCTTAGAAGTTGGATGGTGTTTATTGCACCACATTTGGTATTTAACACCTCATTTTCTCAGCAGGCTAAGCCAGGCTGCTGGCACAGCCTTCACATGCTAGCTAACCCTTGCTCTACCAGCCAAGAACACATTCCCAAAGTACCAGGCTTACAAACACATACTTTCGTGGCTACCTTCAAGCACTTCAATTCCAGCTGCCGTAAGAGGATCATTCAGTATTACACCACTGGGAGTTAACTGCCTCCCATACACCTCAAAAGCAAAGGACACCAAGAAGAGGTGTGACAGTCCATAGGGCTCAACCAGGTTAAACACCAGATGCAGTGGCTTCCACTAGCTTCCACCCATGGAGAGGGGAAGATAAGGGTTCTATGGAGGGCTTTCACAGCAACCTTGGAGTAGCCAGTGCAGCAAACAGTTTTACTGGCTATGTAAAAAAGCTGCTAATAGAGAACAAGTAACTGCTGCTCACAGTACAGTCTGGTGAGGGCTGCTTTGCAGTATCTGCAGCTACCTAGAAGATATAAAGGAGGAGATTCTCCTAGAAGATGGGAAGTAAATATACAGACTCTCCTGCTCTTTTCAGGCTTCTCTTGCTCCCTAACTGACTGCTAGATGTTTCCATGGTGTTTTCTTATCAATTTTACCCCTGCTTCGCTTAGCTATACACCCATGAAACAGAATACTTTTTACGGATTTTCAATTTTCATGAAGTACAGTGTAAGAATACTGAAAAATGAAATCAGAACTTCATCTTTAAAATACTTATCTTCTTTGATGGATAGCACTCAAAAACAGAAGCCTTTTTCTACCCTTTCAAATATCTGTCCATGGCAGTCTTCTCATAATGGACTGATAGTTGTTTTGGACAGAGACACTACTAAATATTGAGTGTAAATGGTGATAAATTACTTTCTCCACTGCACTGTGCATTTTATTAAGGTTGTCCTCTTCACTATGATAATTCTAAAATAATGTGAAGAGCGAAGAAGTGCTCTGCAGCTTATGCTGAAGTCAGTGTCCTTCCATCTCTTACTTCAGGAAAAGTTCTTTCATGCAGAATCCAGAAACCCTCCCATTAGTCTGGAAGGCCACCTTTTTTTTTCATTCAGGTACCTTAAAAATGTACTTATTTTTGCTGGGCAGGTCATGCTAAAGAAATTGTAAAAACAGAGTAGTAGTATGTTTCAGCTCATGTCTCCCACTCTTCTGGGTGGCTAAATCAGAAACATGAACTCCACAAACCCCTACATCTCCACCTTCTTCATCTGCCAAAAAAAAAACTGGCACAATGCACAGAAGGGCAAATTCTCAGCAGTTACCTGGAACATCAACACCTTTAATAACTGCAGATAATAACCCCTCTCTTGAACCATATGTAATTTCTCATTATAGATGGGAAGGAAAGGGAAGACAAGAAAAAACAGCAGAGGCAGCAGTTATTGCCACTGCAGAAGCTGCCATCAGTTTTCCCTGTTTGATGGTTAGAAGAAACAGCCATTTATTTTCATTAAGCTGTCAGCAGATCCAACTTCAGTGGTTTTAAGTTATAAAAAATGTAAGTGCATAAAAGGGGAAAATACTATGAAGTTCTTTCAGCATTCCCTATATGTACCCATTTTTAAGAAACTGTGATCAAATCAAAAGGCTTTTACTCAAGTTAAAGGAACAGCAAGTGATCTGTACAAGCCAACAAAATCAGTCTGTGTCCCCAAGTTAACAAGCACAGTGAGTTACTTGGAAATAGAATGAGCTCTTATTACATGAAAGCCACAAAATATCTCATTCTCAATCCCATCACCTCAGAAATGATACAAACCCAAGGGCATCAGGCATGGTAAAGCCCTGTTAACTATCACTTACAACTTGTTCCAAGATACTTTACTATCCACAAGCCAGCACATGCATTACTAGTCCGTTACTCATAAAATCACTCTGTGTGGTATGGGTGTCAGGACATACAGTATTAATAATTTCCTTCATCTTTCTGGACCAGTTGCTGAGAGAGGCATTTTCCATTTCTGAAAAATAGCTACAGAGCCCCACAGAGTCCAGTATCATATCTGTCCCTAGCCATGCAGGTATGGCATTGGGGCAGGGGGCCATAATCAGGAGGATATTTAGCACAACTGCAGGAAGCACCATCTTGCCTTCAGCCTTACAAAGGAGTGCTCTGCTCTCATCCTGTTCTACCAAATGACACACTGGATTTTCTGCAATTCCTTGCTGCACAAGGAGGCCTTCACCAGGCTCAGCAACACAGGACAGGTAGAACTCCCCTAAATCATGGCTGTCAATTGCATCTCACCAATAATCATTGGTGAGATAACCAAATAACCTAAAACCATGAAGAAGAAAACAGGTTGCAGGTGCTCCAAGTTTGTAAATTCCTTATTTGCTCCTCAACCCTGATGGCCGGCAGTATGTGCACATGAGCATATAACCCACTACCACACCAAATCCTGCAAAGCAGACTGGTATGTCCTTGTTAACACATTCTTTAGCTCCTTTTAAGAGTCTAACTTATTCGTGCTGTCAGTAGTATCAAATGAACCTGAGAAACTCATTATCTCAAAGTCAGTTGTTAATGCAGGTGTGCTCTGAGGCAGACAACCCAAATGCAAGCAGCTTTCATAGTAGCAGAGCAAGCCACCACAATAATATAACTGCTGACTTGGCAACACCAGTCTTTTACCAATCTAAAATAATGAGTGTCCAGACACTAAGAGTAATCCAGATAGATCTACAGTGGGTTAAGGAGCAGAAGGTGTGTACTCCAACACAAGATGACTGGGTCAAATTCTTTGAATGGGTCCATGAAGGTCTTCTTCCTGACAGGAAGTTTTATGGCCACATTTTGTTTTGTGTCTGCAAAAGGGCATGATCTTAGCATGTGATGGCAATTTGCCTGTTCTAGACATGTCTGCATAATGATGGAGGAGGATGACAACCACAGATTCACAGCCTTCCACCTTTGGTTCCTGCTCTTTCATATGGTCCTTCTCATCCAGCACATATTCCTACCTCAGCAGCTAAAAGGCTATTCCAGTGCTCTGTATAATGCAGAGAGGTGCCTCTGCATTGTACTAGTTGATCTGCAACTGAAAGAAACTCCATCAGTACCTAATTATTCTGACTACTGCTACAAATGCTCTCAGCTGAGTTGTATCCTGAAGTAATATAATCAAATGTGACAATGGAAATTAACTTAGATTTTGAAACAGTAAAGGGAAGATCCAAAATGCATTATAGAGCAGTTCATAGAAGGGAGATGAATGACAACATTTGGTAGTCAGCCGAACATTTCTACAAAGCCAACACTGTACATGAGTACCCATATGCAGAGTGTAGCATGAAGGTGTTACAGGATACAAGAGGGCAACCACATTCTGGAAGTCATTAGAAGAGCACTGGGGATGGTGGAAGAACAGTTTGCCTATCCAAGTACAGAAGTCAGGTAAGCACACACAAATCTTTATGAATTTGCACACTGAAACATAGAATGTATCAGAAAGAGCAAAGATGAGCACTGAATTTTGTTGTGAGATGTAAATATCACAGTAGGACTTTTACACAATGGACTCAGTTATCTAAAGGGCTTAGTGTATATGTACTACTATGATTTAATTTTCTGGAACTGTAATGCAGTAAAGAGCATTAACGGATCCATTACTTATTTTTAAGTAAGTCACTCATTTAAATCATAGACTTCCTGCTGCCACTGTCATAGAACTAGAAACTACTAAATTATAGAAGCTTAGAACAGACCTCTGTAGCTCATCAGGTCCAAGCCCTGCTCAAAGCTGAAGCTGACGATCATTTCAGTCACTTCAGACACATCATATACAAGTTAACAGTGACGCTGTAGAACAGTGCACCCATAGTATGGTTTACTCTGCATAGTTTCCAGTGGTCAGACAGCAAGCTTTAGCAGCGGGAATTCTTATTTTATGACAGCATCAATCTCCATGTCAGGATTTTCTTCAGTTGCCACTTGGACAATAGGCCTTTTCATTATCTTTGGGGAAGACTCATTTGCACTTTCTGGTTCCAAATCTGATCTAGACATCAGAGTTTCCACAATGTTCCCAGAAGAGTAGCATGGGAAAACTGAGAAACTTCAGTTCTACCATGTAGAGTAGGTATTTATATGAAAGCGTATATTATATGACATATAATACATATGTGGGCTGCTTAGTTTTGTGTCTGTGAAGTACAGTCACAAACCATAACAGACTGGTAATTGCAAATGGAAAGGCTTTTTTTTTCTTAACAAAACCCAATACATCAGTTCTAAAACTTATCTGTAAACCCACACTGACCCCAGTACCAGCACCAGTGTAAAATAATAATTCAGGGATTAAAACCACTCCATTCCAAATACTCCTTGCTCATAATGAAAACACAGTCCAGCAATGAGTATAAAATATGAAAGGAGCTTGTTAATGATGCCCAGATTATAATTAAATAGCAGTGCTTAGTGTTTTACCCTCCCTTGGAGATAGTTTCTAAGTCAAGGGGGAGTATTTAGATCTGATTAGCCTTTCCCTAGTTTGCCCGGATGATTCAAACATCTTTTACTATTATACAGCTGGGTCCCAGGGTCCCAGCTCATAAGCACTAGAGTGTGTGTTAGTTTGCCATAAGAAATCCCAGTGAAGTCAGTGGAAAGACTCATGTAAAGTAATTAGATGTGAATAAGAGTGCAAGGTTGAGGATCTTAGCTGCAGCTTTGTGTAATTGAGTGCTACATTTTCTTATTAAATAAATCAAACTTAATTTGGTGAATTATAATCATAGTGATATACACTACAGAGGAAAAGTTTTTAAAAATCTGGTGCTTAAAGCTGACACATCTCTGTGAGGAGTCTATCACTCAGGAAAGATTTTGTAGGATTTTATGGAAAAGCCAGATGTGTACGATACTAAGCTCTTGATTTACAGAGAATTTATTATGGAATTCAGTACAATAATTTCATCTGAAGTAGTCAGCTGCCTGACAGTAGCACAGCTGTGACACGTAACACAGCATGTCACCTTTTCAGGTCTCAGTTAGAATCATTCACCCCTTGAGTAACGGCCTCAAAAGAAAACCCAAGCATTTAGGAAGTATTATATAAATCTGGATGTTGCATTCATCTCTCTCGGTCAACACTAACCCATGGTTGAACAGTGACAGTAGCCAGTCTGACATGAAAGAACTCTTCTGAAACAGGAGCATGTGATCATTAAATATGCCACAGCAAGTTTTATGAGTTTAAAGAGCACCATCTCAGTTGGGTTTCAAGGGTAAGTATATCAGATGCAGCAAACCAACCCCACTCCTCCCATCTCCAGCAAACGCACTGCTCTCAGGAAGCCCAGGCAGCTCCCACCTGCATGGTAGAGGTGACTACTCTAGTGGGCAGCTACCTGCAGGTGATACAAACTGCATCCCGTCCTGCTGGATGCTGGTAAAGATACACCTGCAGGCCGCTCAGTAACAAAAAAATAAAGTTTGGTAAAGTCTAGGTAAAGTTTGGCTCTGATTCTGCACTGATTTTAAAATACAGCGCACTCTTCCCTTACAGCACGTACACTGTTAAATGAGCTCCTGAAGCATGCACAGGGAGGAGAGTGCTCAGACCATGCAGTCCCAAGGAAAACGAAACATTTCCCCCGCTGCTGAAACACGAGCAGCAAACCCCTCCAGCGGGACCCAGCGAGCATCTAACCCAGCCCCAGAACGCTCGGCGGCCCCTCGCCTCGGCCCCCCGCTCTCCGCCAGGCCCCTGACGCCCGCGCTGCAGCCGCCACTCCCCGTGGAGCCCTCCCCGACCGTCCCCGCGACCGGGGTGCGGCCGCCGCGGGGCAGGAACCCCGGGGCAGGGGTTGCTGCAGGCCCGGAGGTGTCAGCGATGCGAGCCCCGCCGAGCGGCAAGTGAGGCAGCGGGGTTGCCTGTGCCCCGGGCGTGGCGCTCTGGGCCGGCCTGGCGGCGGTAGAGGCGGGGCGCGGCAGAGCAAGCTGCAGAGCCGGGCTTACCTGAGGGGCTGGCGGGGCCGTTCCGCTCGACGGCCAGAAGCGAGTGCGGGAGCGCCTCCTTCCCGCTCGGCGCGGCTCCGGACAGCGCTCCCCCTCCTACCCCCCCCCGGGAGCGCTGCGGGTTGAGGGGAGCTGCCGCCTCCCGCCAACCCCGTCCCCGAGCAGCAGGAGCCCAGTTCAGCTACACTGAGGGGAAAGGAAGGGGCGGCCCGCTAGGAAGACACTGGCTGCCCTGCCTAGACCCCCAAAGCCGGCCCCCCTGCACGGCCCCGGGGCGCAGCCGCCCGTATCTCCTCAGCCACCGTCAGGGACGCGGTCTCGCTCCTTTCCGTCTGCCCGTGAGAGACACGGGCTCTTGCCCTGCTCCGTCCCGCTCGTCCCGTGTAAGGGACGCGGTCCCGCTCCGTCCCTCTCTCCCCGAGTAACGGACGCGGTCCCGCTTCTGCCCGCCTGTCCCGTGTGAGGGACACGGTCTGCCTTTTAGCTCACTCCCGCCTGCCGTCAGGGAAGAAACTGGATCGACGGCCCTCATGGGATCCGCGCCCTCCCGTCTGTCCCCGAGGGACGGGGGACACTCTCCCTCCCGACAGCCCCGCTCCTCCTGCCCTCCCCAGGTTCCCGGTTGCAGTAGTGCCGTCTTGGCCCTCCGCTCCGCGCCCGCTGCGCACCTCGGCCGCGCCGCCGGTTCCTCCCCGTCAGACCTTTCCCTGTTCTGCAAAGGCAGCTCCTGTAGCTGCGGGGGAGTGTCTGCCCCGGCCGCGGGGACCCGCTAGAGGAGAGCGGTGTGGGTTTGGTGTGGCGGCTCAGGGCAGGGCCGTCCGCATCCATCCCCGGCCAGTGCCGTGCTCCCCGGGCCGGGCCCGCGCTCCCTTCCAGGGAAGCTGACCAAGGGAAACGCTGGGGAATGGAAATCCCATTCCCCGCGCAAGGACCTCCGGGCCAAGGCAAACAGTCCCCGGTGAATCATGCGGGAGTCTGCCACCGCGGCGAGCCTCCGGAGCCTCTGTCGGGGAACTCGCAGAGGGAGGCGTGAAATAAATGGGCCAGGTAGAAAGGACTGTCGCTTCCCTGCTGTCACAACAGCGGTGCACTCAGTAGTGCAGGTGGAAAAAGCTGTGGGGTTTGTATCAGTATTTAAGTTTTCACTGTGCATGAACAAGTAAAATTCCTGCTTTGTTCCTGCGATTTCTGTTTCCTGGAAAAAAACGTCAGTTAAAGGCATTCCAAATGACAGAGGTGAGCCAGGCTTACTGTCACGTCCAACAGGATAGGGATAGAATTGCCAAACCAGTGCATTAGGTGCCATCATGGTCTGAGAAAGGAGATTTGTATCCCCCGGAGTTGCTGGGATGGTGAACAAACTGCAGAAATCAGCAGAGCTAATTTGGGTAAGTTTTCCAAGGCACAATTAATTGTCTGTGAGGCAGGTGTACAAAATCTAATCTTTAAGAAGAGGGGTGTAAATGATGAGCAAATCTCAGACTGAAAGGGGCTGGATTAACTCCACCTTTCATTCTGAGCCCTGGCTCCTGAACCTGTTCTGTATCTAGAGGAAAAGGAAAAACTAAAAAGGCAGGTGAACACTGACAGACATAGCAAACCCAGCAAAGCTAGTGCAGGATAGTTCACCTGTTCTGTTTCATCCTTTGTAACGTAGCATAGGCCACAATCCATAATGCTCTGTCAGCTCAAATACAGAATCTGTACCCTTGGAGATTTCACTGTGCTGTGGCTTGAGGCACCAGCTGAGTTGCCAGAGGAACTCAAAAGACAGGAGAGAAAGTGCTGTGGTGAGAAAATGATATGAATTTGCAGGGGCTTGGCTTGGTGGCTTCAGTTCCAACTTATCCATAAGAAAACACTAGCTCTTCCCAGAGCCCGTGCAGCCTGCTGCTGTTGGCAGGTTGAACACATGGCAGGTGTCCCAGCTGGAGATTGCAAGAAAGGGTATGATGGCAGTGAGAAAGCTTGATAAAACATCTATTTGCCTCATAAAAACCAGCTTAGAGGGTGGGGGGATTTTTATTTCACTTTATTAATCAACTTTGCTTTTTAATTAATACCATACCAGAAGTTCAGTGTATTCCACACATTACAGACTCTCACTGTCTCTTTGCCTCTTGTCCTTCTTCAAGTGATGAGCTTCTGTCTTCCACTCCCACAGTGTGACTTCTTTTTTGCTTTGGGAGAGGCATCGTTCAGTCTGTCAACATTTGGGAGGATGTGTAGAGGAAAGTTGGAAGGTACTAAGTTAGACAAAGCTGGAGGCTTCTAGCAGGCAGTGCTTTGATCTGCAGTCAGTTATTAAGTTTCTTGAAGATTGCTGACTGAATATCAGAAGCTTTCTAAGTCTTCTCTTTCCTTTCCTGGCTTCCCTCAGTGCTTGGCAGGACAGTTTTCAGTCTGGAAGAAATGCACAGTGATGTAGGCTGCTTTTGAATTGTCACAGGCAACCACATAATGTAAAAAACATAGTTCAGAAAATACATTCTATCTTAAAAGCAGGTGCTTTAGTAAAACAGCAGTGAATTGGTTTTCCTCCTGCTGTTAGATGTCTGTTTCAGACCTTCCTACTACCGTTAGACACTTCCTACTGATTTCCAGCCTAAATGTATTTATGGCTATTTTATACTTGTTTTCTAGTACTAACATTGGCTTTCAACCTCAACATCTTTTTCATCTTCAAGGCTTGCTTAGTGTACTTAGTGACAGCAATAATTTTCTCTTTCAGCCTTCACTCTTGTTTCACTCTACAAGCAAGTTCTTGCTGTGTATGTGTTGAGCCAGTTCCTGTGGGTGCATGTGGCAGAACTGAACATGATATGCCATCCGAGCTCTCACCAGATCATTTCTATTTACTGAAAATACTTTTCCTGATGTGGTCTAGGATTTCATTATCATTTTCAGTGGCCTCATTACTGTTAATGGCTGATGGTCATCTTTGTGTTCAGTTTATGTGTGCAGCTGCACCTGTTTACCAGTGGATAAATCCTACCTGATACATGATCTTTCATTTTATACTGTGGTATTTCATGTTGATAGCGGAATAGACTCCACAACTTCATTAAAGTTGTAAAGTAGGTATGCTTTATTCAGCTGAAGACGCAGGGGGGATTGGTCCTCCAAAAGGCATTCGTACCTCAGTGCCGTTTTTCCTTTTACATTTATCCTGTAAAGTCATACATATGTATTAGGTTGCACAATACACCTATACATATTCATATTCTATCTCCGCTTCGTATTATAATGAGCTAAAAGGCTCTCCACGCATGCGCAGTGCCTCCTGGTGGTCTTAGGCAGGGGTCTTCAGATGAAGTAAATAGTCTTCCTCTTGTGGGTAGGGGTCTTCAAGATGAAGTAAACTAGTCTTCCTCAGGCTTGAACTTTTTACCTCTGGTCCTCACGCATGCTCTTTAGGAGCTGGATGGGTCTGGTCTATGTCCAACTGGTTTAATGAGCTATTCTCTTCATTAGGAGGTTCTATCTTGGTACTGCCTGATAAGGCATCTGCTGAGCTTGTCAAACAAGCTATAACTGAAGCAGTATCCCCTTGTACAACCCCCCCTGTTCTCCTCATTAGGAGGTTCTATCCTGGTAGTGTCTGATAAGGCATCTGCTAAGCTTGTCAAGCCAGCTATAACTTAAGCAGTACCCCCTTGTACAACCCCCCTGTACACAATAGGCCACATCATCTTCAATTGTCTCCTGAAGTTCTTTCATTCTTAAGATCATTTGGTTCTTTCCAAATGAGCTCCTCCTTCTTGTGTGCAATGCCTGTTGAATCTCATATGTTTTATAAAAAAATAAAATAAAATCCACTTTTGCTGGCCAATTTCATTAACTAAAAAGTTAAATAAGATTCTCTTTCAGTAATTGTAAGTAACTTTCTCTAACTTTCCCCTTTGATGCTCCCTCACCCATTTTCCTATTGCCAAGATCTAGATCCATGAGTTAGGTCCATACTTAGCTCTCCTAGTTCCAATTTCAATTAGTAATTTCCGCTGTGGCAATGCTTTCCTGAAGTGCAGACACATTAGGTCTACTGTATTTCCTTTGCCTAAAAAAAGCAGGTTAAATAAGCACAATCTCATGTTGGGAAACTAATCCCGCATTTATCACTTATTTCACAACATCTTTAATTATTCTTTGCTTCAAAATTTGTTTTGAAGTTCTTATTACTACATGGATAAGAATAAAAGCTGAGATGGCATTTGAGCAAATCAAGTTGTTCCAGTCGCTTTTAATTGGGCACCATCTGACTCAATCCTATTGTTAAAAAAATTTGGTGTGATGCCTGTGCTGTCATTTGGGATGGAAACTGTCTGCTCCCCTTGACATGAGCATGCTTTAAAGTTTACGTCTCTTGCTTGTAGTTGCTGCTGCTTTTGCTTATTATCCTGCCTTCGTCTGTGTTGACTATAATAAAATACTTCAAAATAGCAAAGTTTTTTGTACTGGGTAGACAAGAAGAAAAACATGTTTATCAAAGGCCTAGATAAGAGTTCTGTTAGCTTGTACTGCAAACAAGAAAATACTTAGAACTTTGTAAAAAAAGTTGAAAGAAATACATAATAATAGTTGTTAGTTCAATAAAAAAATCTGTGGCTTTTGCCAGTGGAGGAATTTAGCTTTTTATTTATTGACATGCAAAGTTTGAAATGCTTACAAATCAGATCATAAAGCTGTTACACAATTAAGTGTCTTTATTACTCTTTATTGTTGTCTTTATTACTGACCAGAGAAATCAAACCATATTTTTTAAATCACTTCAAAAGTTTGTATCCCACAGCCTTCTGATTGGAAATGTTATAATGTACTTGTAATATTAACTCACAAGGCTTATAAGCCACAGTGCAGTGCAATTAATCAAGTAGAGTTTCCAGTGCACATACAAATTGGAGTCTATCAATGGAAGCACCATCCTTAACTATATAATTAGGGGATATGCCCTTTCCTGGATTGAAATTGAAATTAAGCTGTCTCCACTGATCAGCAGGTACTTGGTGTCTTAAAATCCATGCAATGCAAGTTCTTTCTAGTTAAAACTGGATATTCAAATTTCTACAGTAGCTTGAAAGTAAAGCTGTATAAATCTTTTCTTTCTCTACCTATCTTTCTAAAAAGGATTTCTGTTTTTTGGCTTATATGGCTGTTGTGGTTATGACAACATGTGAAGTAGTGTCATGTAAAGCAGGTATGTTACAGTTGGTTAGTAACTGTCAATTACTTCATGATTCTCCATTGACATCACTCAAAATAACTTAAATAAAAGAGAAGGATATAAAGTTCAAGTCTGTATCTGATCTGTTTCCTTGAAGAAAAAGATTTATTTATTTAATAAATTTTATTTATTTATTTAATAGCTAGATAATATGTTATATCTCATCATCTCCCCCCAAAAACATTATCCTTTTGCTATTTCCCCCTTTCTACTTCAGGCATGCACATAAATTTCTTTACTGTTTTGAGCGTTTCTTCCATAACTAGCCACCTCCTTGACACTTAAAATAATTCTAATTCATACATGGTACATTATATGGCCTCTAAAAAGAAATAGATTTTTTTAAAACCTGTACTATTTTCTTGGATGCACCCTTTCTGTTCAGCTGTCACTTTCTGTATTTCAGGAACATGCTGCTTTTTTAAAACAAATTCAGTAAAGATTTAAACACAGGTGAATGGCGAAGTTTATTTGTCGCTTGTGGTAAAAAGGACTCACCTGAGTGTAAGTGATGGACTGATGATACATGAATTGCACAGCAATGTTCATGGTTCATGGTTTGTGT